CGCCGTGCCGTCAGCACGCATTAGCCGCCCCGGGGCCGTGGCCGCGAGCGGACAAAGGCCATCCAGAAGCCGAAACAGGTGCTTCCCGTTTGGACAATTACTGGTGCGGGGCGGCCAATTTGGCGCACTTGTCCAGCAGGGAGCACGCGTCTTGGATCGGCTGTGTCGCCCGGGGGCGGTGGACGAGTATTGGTCATGACGTGACCACACATTGGCTACGGATGGCCCACAGACAGACCAAAAGAACAACCCGCAGAACGGCCCACATTCCCGGCAGCTCGTTCTGCTTCCCTTCCGCAGGGTGCATGCCGCACGCCTCCCCTGCAGGGTGCGTGCCAACGCTGCCTCCACGCGCATTGCACGCCCCTACCCTCATGCAGGTCGGCCTGGCCCGCTGGTCTGCCCTTGGCGAATACCGGCGGCATTTATAGCAGCGCGGTAGCAGCAACGGGCGTCTCTGCTCACGCCGTAAGATGGTCTGATCGACACTCGTGCTGCGCAAGCGCAACTCGGAGAGGAGGTGGGAGATGCCAGAGGGAGATGCCATCTCCAGAAGCGGTGGGGAGGAGAGAGGGGAAGAGAGGGGAGGGGAGGTAAGGGAGGTGAGAGAGATAAGAGGTTTGGGAGAGGAGAGGAGAGGAGAGGAGAGGAGAGGAGAGGGGAGGAGAGGAGTTAAGGGTAGAGGTGGCAAAATGTGGACCCGAGGACCCGGTCCAAAGAACCAGCCTGGACCCATATCGGTCCAGACCGGTTCCTGGAAATTTTCTGACAGGTCCAACCGGGTCCTACCATAACTATACATCTTGCGCACTACACATTATTGCAAAATATGAAGTGAATGAAGTGATTGTTTCTTTGCACACAGTAGCTCATGAGTATTCCCAGTGGGAAATAGGCTGTTTTACATGATGCAACTAATGATACCTACAAGTAGTTTGTATTAATTGACTTTTGGGGAACGGGTCCAACTGGTTCCGATTCCAACTAAGACCGGGTCCGACTGGTTCCAGAAATATCCAGCCGGGTCTGGTTCGAGTCTGGTTCCCAAAATTTTCATCTTTTGCCACCTCTAGTTAAGGGCAGAGAAGGTTTAGGGAGGGAGGAAGGCGAGGAGAGGGCACGGGTGACGGCTGCAGCACTGGGCAGCTCTGTCCGCCTGAGTGGAGCGCAGAGAAGCGATAACGGTTCCGCCGCAGGTGGGTCGACCTCTGGACTCTGCCAGCCTCCGCCGCCACCGCCGCCTCTGCCACTGCCACCCGGCTGCCGCCGCCGCGCCATGCCGCCATGCCGCCGTCGCCACCTCAGAGCGAACACTGGACAACATTTAAACATTTATGAAATAACATTTATTCGTGTATACATTTATACAAAAATATACATATCAGAATTATGGCTGATAAAACCAATAAAGCGATTCCTTTCAGTTGTAAAAAGCGCCTTGATTTCGGCAGCAAAGCTGCTAATCAGTGGCGCTTTTCAGCAAGCTCATCTCTCTCGCTGCGCATTATCCGAGTTCACTGACATTGCAGACACGGTCGGTACTTACGTCGGACCATTTCCATGGCGGTCGGCCGGGCAGCGGGCTGTCTAATCGCCCGTACCCACGCCAGCCGTCTCCTCCATACGGGCTACGTGCTGATCTCGGCGGGACGCTATGGTGTCCACGACCTGCTGACCCCATCTAGCTGGCTGACCCGGCGCGCGCGGCCTCCGGCAGTGACCCTGCTGGATAGATGCGCCTCCCGCCGACATCAGCATGGCACACAGATGGAGAGATGAGAGGAGGCGGGTCGGGACAGAGGAGCTCTGCCGATGGGGAGGGCGGCACCCACGTGTCTCACCCAGGGCGTCAGGGCGGCTACCTCGGCTGTCAAAATGGCGAGCAGCTTAGGTGCCTCAAGGGAGAGAGGCAGAGAGAGAGAGAGAGAGAGAGAGAGAGAGAGAGAGAGAGAGAGAGAGAGAGAGAGAGAGAGAGAGTCGGAGAGAGAGAGAGAGAGAGAGAGAGAGAGAGAGAGAGAGAGAGAGAGAGAGATAAGAGAGATAAAGAGAGAGAGAGAGAGAGAGAGAGAGAGAGAGAGAGAGAGAGAGAGGGAGAGAGAGAGAGAGAGAGAGAGAGGGAGAGAGAGAGAGAGAGAGAGAGAGAGAGAGAGAGAGAGAGAGAGAGAGAGAGAGAGAGAGAGAGAGAGAGAGAGAGAGAGAGAGAGAGAGACCCGGTGTGAGGGCAAGGTCCGGATCACACCATTAATCGTTGGTTCGAACTAAGCCACGCTGGTCTCAGGAGGGTCATGCGCCAGTGCTGTCTCTATTGGTGCAGGTTCAAATGGAATACCCCGAACCGGCTCTGTATATCGAGACTACCTCGATGGCGGGCATAAATTGCGCCCGCCGTTCCCAGGAACTGCTCATTGGACAGTCCAGCCGGCAGAGTAGAGACAGCTAATCTGATTGTCGATGCAAACCAGGTGCTGAAAGCCGGCTGTTGAGAGCTGGACCTGCTACCGTCCGATGGCTCTTGGTAAACGGCTGTCCCGGGGCGGAGCGGCGCTCACGTGAGTTCGCTGTGCAGGTGAGGTGGTGGGGAGAGGGGCACTTGCTGAAGAGGGAGGGAAGGTCGGCCAGTGTGACGTCACGCGGTGCCCTGGATATACGACCTCGCCTCTGATATTGATGGGATTTCTGAACATCTCGGCGGGTGACTGACGGAGCAATCCAATCCGGAGCTAAACGTCTTGATTATTCCCCCCGATCCGTCTTCTCGAAAGACGTGTTGTAAAAGATCGGTGAAAGCTACTGAGCCTGAAACGTAAACAGATTTATCTATTTACGATGTTTTCTAGTATCACGCGCGGGGCCATGACCCTGGATGACCGACGAGGTCGGCTGAGAAGGTCGCTCCAGCAGCTCCGCTACAGAGTTGATCCCAAAATAATCGCCGCCCTGTCTCTGAAGTGCCGAGCTGAAATGACGCGCCTCCTTTGTCTGCTGGCCGGGCGCCCGTTCAATCCGCGATGTGCGGCTCGGCACCGGCGCTGTGGGTGTTATTTGTCCGTCTGTGGGGCCGCGCCGACCCTGAATTCCGGCCAGGTAGATGCTAATCTCCTGCGGCGACCCTGCCATTCGACATGGAGCTCACCGGGCGCCGCCCCCTCGCGGCGGCCGACAGGGCGGCACGCGGCGTCGGCAGGCCGCTGATGTATGGTGGCCGCTCACCCACCGCCCTCGCTGCGCACCGGCCGCGGTTACAGCTCCGCTCCTTCGTCAGCACTGCAGTCATCACACCACCACCTTCATAACTAAGGCGAATTTTGATAACGTTTCCTGTCACGATTTGAAGCCGGGCTGGCTGAGACGAATCAAAACAAGGTCCAGGTTCAGGTTCAGATGTTATGAGAAATAACGTCTTCTCGATTCATTCCATTTTACACGTTTTCGTCTTTCCCACATCCACCTGGATGTAACATGATTGTGCGAAATCTGACAATGTTCAGACTTCAGATGGAACATCTTGGCAGCGCGGTCGATCGGCGTCCGCGGGAACCGTCGCGGTTTGACAGACGGACAGGCTGATCGTGTGACGGGCGGTAATGGTTCTACAGCTGCGTAGAGATCCAACTGTTAGTCGCTTCTTCAGGCGATGTCTGTCGGATACGACAGCACAGGACGTGATGGGGGGGGGGGAGGGGGCAGTATGCACACTGCAAACTGTGCAGAGCGTATGAGCTGCTTGGAGGACAATGGGTTCAAGACGCTTGGGTCTTTGGATCTTTTAGCTCGCGGGTAATGAATTAGTAACATCAAGCGTGCGAGACAGGGAAGGAGTCAAGAGAAGGATTAACAATGAAAAGTTTGCCTCATGAAAAGCAATTCCAAGTGTTTATTGAAAACATCTTTACGCGATCCATAGACTGACGGTGTTCAAAACGCCAAAGAAGAGCTTCAGGCTCTCCCGGCCCAGTTTCGTGATATCATGTCTTCTGCACCGACTCCGTTTACCGTATGGACATAACGTGAGCGAGTCACGGGCTGGGCCACGGACCCCACATTAGGTCTGCCCGAGCTGCGGACTTGGCTCGTGACCGGAGATCGCCGGAACCGGTCGGGTCAGCGATCTGCACTCACCGCCGGCCACACAGCGAGCTGATGGAGCTATCGGACCGGGCTGAGCGGGAGAGACTACATTCGAGCGCCGAGTAAGGTAGCTCGAGTGGCGAGCAGTGGCGATCGAGGACCGAGAGACGGCGCCCGAGAGGCGAGAGACAGCAGCCAAGCGTCAACGACTGCGCTCCAGCGGCGAGCGACGGCGCTCGGAAGGCGAGAGACTGCGCTGGAGGGACCGTTTACCACCCGCTGGATGACACCGATTTCATCCTGCAGCTCTGCACGGTCCAGTCACCTGTAGTCACCGCTGAATGGCCGGCTATGATTGCTGCTAAGTAGTTAACCGACCATCAGTCGGACTTGCAGATTTGTGGGGGTTGATTTGTGGGGATGTTGCCCGGGCCGTAGCAGCGCTGCCTTGCGACCAGCCGGCCCGGTGTTGCGGCATTGGGTCGATACCGGATCGGTGTGTAGTAGGTACGGGAGAGTGAGCAGTCAGACAAGATCATCGGGTCACAAATCGTGCTCATCGACTGATCGCAGATGGCTAAAGATACTATCTGACACTGGAAACTCTCACCGCTGATGGCTCTCACCGAGCCGGCGGGGCTGTCTCACATAGGTGCCATACACTTTCTCATAGTTGGGGACCGGATACGGAAACGTCGACATACGGGAAATATCCACACTCTGGCACATCGGAACGGCCGGACGGAACACCGGCTGCTAACATTTTACCGCTTCAGACATTTAGTCACTTCCTAACGCTGTTTTCTCATGCCTCCCTCCACGTCCGGTTATTGCGCTTTACTTAAGCATAACTTGCCAACATTTAACAGATAGCGTTACCCCATTATTCTTTTGATCCCGACCTTTTGCTGACATTTGTTGTTCTGTTTCAGGACACGACGCTCGGCCAGGAGCTGCTGGATAATGTGTTTCGTCACCTGAACCTGCTGGAGACGGCCTACTTCGGCCTGCGGTTCCTCCACTCCTCCAACCAGCCGGTAAGTCACTCCAAAAGCGGGTATCGGGTGTAAAACGTCCTTCCGCCAACCAGCCGGCAAGTGTTAACTCCCAGTTTTCCAACTGCGGACCAGCGGATGAGAGATGCACTCTTCTGCTACCCACTTGTATATATCCCTCGCACGACCAGGCCATTTCTCATAACACGAACGACCAGGGGGGGGGGGGGGTTGTTACGACCCCCCCCCCTGGCGTTTCGAAACGGAAGGTCGTAGAGCTTAGCGGAAAAAACCAACGGATTGCTCTCAACGAGATCTCGCGATTGGTGGTATATTTTTTGGTCCTAGGTCAACATTTGACCTACTTTTGACCGGTCAAAGGTCAAATTTTCGGAAAAATAGACTTTTTCAGCTTTCGGCGGCGATTGCGGCAAAACGGTGGGAGATATCGACTTGAAACCTTCACTATCGTGTTTCTTGATCAATTCTCTATCGTTTGGTATGTATTTCGTTTCCCTAGCTCTAAAAATGGCGCGTTGGGAGCGCCGGAAGTTGGCAAGGTCACAGTCGGCGGCAGAAATTCGAAAAATCAAAATTTAAATTTTTGAAATCTTATTGTATTTTTGGATTTGGGAGGTCCATTTGCTCCCTATAGAAGCTAATATTGCTGCATATTCCCATTGAGGTGACAAGAATTAGCAAAATAGTGGTTCGGGCGCTTTTCAAAAATAGTACCGGACGCTGTTCCCCTTGTGACGTCATAGCTCCGTGACCTGACCTGACCCGGTCAAGTTTCTTATACCATATGATAGCCAATACTTGCCCCAACATGCATGGGAAGTTTCATCACGATCCATCAACCGATGTTTGTACCACCGGCAGGAAACCTCGGGCGTTGGCACTCAGTTTGTGAAAATCCGGCCGGAGGCTGTACCTCTTATGACGTCATAACTCCGTGACCTGACATGACCCGATCAATTTTTTTTCGGCAAAAGATGCGCAAAGGTTGCCCCAGAGGGTATTGAAAATTTCAGCCCGCTACGACAAGCCGTTTAGCGTGCACTTCGAAAAAACCTCAGGGGGGGGGGTTGATACAACCCCCCCCCCTAGGCGTTCTAGGGATATATGTATGCATGTATATGTATGTATGTATGTATGTATTGACGTAGGCAGACACTCCACAGTACACTGTGGCTTGAGCTTGAGCTGGGGTCACTCATCCAACAATCACTCCTCCAACCAGCTGAATAGTCAGTGAGTGTTACCCCCAGATACTCCTCCAGCCAACCCGCAAACCACTCCTTCAAGCAGTCGGCTCACCCCACTCGCTCGGGTGACCACTGACATCATCCTGTAGCTATATCAGGGCGCCTATAATCCTACCGGGTAGAAGAAAAGAGCTGGTGACGAATTTGGCAGCTAGATATAGGGCAATTACGGCGCTAAGCCGTTTTTTAAAGTCGTGCTTTCTATATTGAGGGTGGTTATCGAAGGGAGTTGAAACAACATCTGCAAAAGTGTTGGTGAAAAGCAAGGCCACTAACCGAAAGCAGCGCACTTTTGCACCGCCAAAGGGAGATTATCATACTATCGGAGCCATGAACTTCCCTCCCCGCACAAAAACGCTGCCTGAAACGCGAAACTTACTGAGAAAGAAATAATGCTGCAAAAACGTGCAACGGTAACAAATTGCATCGCATTAGTTGGTTCTTCTTACTGCGACGACCTGTTCTGAGCTTATGCCTAATCGAGTTTGTCTTTTCATACGGCTGAAGCCTGGCCTTCCGTATACGAGCACTGGTTGGGCTGCGTCGGTGTCAGTTTTGGGTCGTGAGGAGCGTGTCGGTAATCAGGGCTGTTTGGGTGGGCCGTGTCAGTAAAGCTTTATCGGCCCGCCTGGTAACACTGTCGGTGACGTTGTGGCTGTCAGACTCGGCTGAGGTCAGTAATGCTATCGAAGGGACTGCTGACATTGTTGTCCTACCGCATTATGGTATCCGAGGGAGTGGTCGACCAGCTGGCCAGCTGGCCAGGTGTCTGCAGTGCACTGTCACACAGCTCTGTCACGTTCAGGAAGAGGCGTGGTCGTATCACCAAATTCAGAAGTCTGTACAAACGCGGGGTGCGGACCATCGTGCAGCTCCAGTTGCTTACTCAGCGTTTATCTACATGCATGTGGGCACTGAGGAACATTCTTATAAAGGGCATAGAAAGGATTTAGCCAGGCACTGAATGCTTTTGCGCTCTAAAGAGTCACTCCTCTTGTGGCAAACACTTGTGGTCTTGAAGATGAAATTGTGCGCATGGATCAAATGAGCGTTTGTGGTAATATGCTCCAATGCAATGTAGTGTTTACAGGCTACAATTCAATGGCTAACGGAACACCCCAACAGGTTAAATTAGGCTATAATTTCTATCGGTGGAAGCTGTCTAATTAAGTCGTGATTTTCCTGTCACGGTTGGGGTCGCGACGGTGTAATATAGCTCCGGCGGGAGATTGAACGTGTGTCGTGACCAGTAGCGATTCTTCATTAGCTCGCGGTGTGCTTAATTCCATGTTCTTGTGGTCGACTAGCTTTGTTTTCGACCAATGCACAGCTGTCTGCTCACTGTTCAGGTGTTCATTAGTCCACTACAGAGGCGGATCCAGCTCAGAGGTTTGGGGGGGGGGGGGCAAACCATAAAAATTTATCCATTCTTTCCATGCATCGTCCATAGGCGTAATGTTAAAATCATGCCGTTTGGGGGGGGGGGGCAAATGCCCATTTTGCCCCCCCCCCGCCCTGGATCCGCCACTGGTCCACTACAATACAAAACGTTTTAGTTGTAATCAATTTGCTGTCTCCAAATTGCCTGCCATGATAAGGACTTTCTCTGTCTGGTCATTCCATGAATTAGGATCACACAGCATGCCTTTCTATCATGTTTGTTTCCGAAGAGCCAGAAAACAAGATTGAGTTTTCGCCCTTGGGTGTCTAGTTACATTCCAATAATCCGGAGGAATGCTGAGATTCAAACACAGATTGGAAATCACCCTCTCCTTCTGCTCCAGTCCCTGCTAATGACCTTTTGCCTGTCCCGAGGACACGGGTCGACTGACTGCTACCGTCGGCGTCGTGGCAGGACCATCAGTTCCGGCGCCGTGAGATTGTATCGCGACCCTTTCTCACGCCCCCCACGAGCTAGGCGGGGCCTAACGATCTCGGCGCACGCGGCGCAGCGCCGTGCGGTACCCAGCCGCGCTGAGCCATGCTGAGCCCGCGCTGGGACGTACGATGCCATGCAGGCTGTTCTCGACTGTTCTGGGACGTGTTTGCTAGTGCTGGAGTCACTCAATACTGACGGACAACGGTTTAAACTGATACATTTGGATAGGAGCGGTGTTCCGTCGCGCCCGCCGCGCCGACCTGCGCCGTGGCGGCCAATGGAGATTGGACAATGGATACAGTTCTGGGAAATGTTACCCAGGACTTTGAATAGTGACTGTATAAAGGGACGTGTGTATTTTGCATAACCAGGACATGTCTCTTGAAATGTTTTACGGTATCGATATTGCTGAAAATAAGTGCTGTGTTGACAATGCTTTACCAATTCGTTCGTAGGTATAAGATAGAAAACACTGTTCTACCCGGCCCTGGCGCCCTGTGTGGCTAGCCTTGAGTGACCTACCTGCCATTTGTTTCGGCCCGGTTCCGTCTCCGGTGACCGGTGACCCTGCCGGCTGATGGATCGGCGCCGGTAACCGGTCACAATGGCCTCTGGATCCGCGCTCCGCCCGTAATCAATCGCGATCGGAACCGGCGGCCAGCGGGTTCATTGTTCTGCGCTCAGTCGGCGCCGGGAGAACTGGGCCCTTTATGGTCCCCCGACACGCCACACGGGTAACCGACAACACAGTCCTCATTCGGGGGCGGTGGGTGGGGCCGCCAGCGGACATCGCTGTTAGGGAGCTAAAATGGCTCTTTACTCAGCGCCGGCACTGCACTTATCGATGTCATTAGCATAAAATGTGCGAGCATTGAGGCTGTCCTGCAGGAAAACAGCGTTTTGTCACAGAAAAAGCTGGCATGATGGCCTTAAAATGGCACATATCTAGCAAGGTGATGTCAGTTTGAAATGGGTATCAGACATAAAGCATTAGCTCATCGGTTTTAAGTGCTCAGTTTTTTAATTCGTGAAATCAAAGACTGAACGAAGAATGAGATCTTGTTTTCGACTGATGCTGTAGTGACATGCATTTGAAGTAGGTATGATTGGTAAAAATATCAACACCCACACAACTGGGAGCGTGCTTTCCTTTCTAATAATTCATACATGATGAGTCAACCTTCTGATTTTTTGGCGACTTAGTGGAATCAAATCGCTCGCGATCTTACCTTAAGCTTATATATTATGGTGTTACCGCTTCTCATAAGTCACAATAGTCGGCCACCAAGCTAGTAAATTTATGTTTTTTTGTTTGAGAGAATTCAAGCTCTTTTGTCTGATATGCAATTTCAACCGATGAGTGCAGCCTTTGCATTGTTGGATTTGGAAAAAAAAATTGTCCCCAAAACATTCGAGGCACGACAAAGCATGGATCGATATAAAATGCTCGACTTAATATTTAATAAATTTCATGGCTCTTTTTCTACAAACGATGAACAATTCTTGTTATTTGGCATTGGCATGGGCGAGAGTGTCGAACTAGCATATTTTACATATCGCTGTTGATTCGTTTCGCTTTATCTTTATGATTTCAGTGCCTTAGGCAATAGGCATACTAACCGTTTGCATCATTGTTTTTTTGGTAGTTGGTTATTCGAAACGACCATCTGAAAATTGGGAACATTCCAATTAGAATTTCTAACAAATGTCATGCTCTATTTTTTGGGTATAATCTCACGATGTTGCGTTTGGGCAATCATAACATTTTTGCTACAATACCTCTTCTGAAATTCGTGACTGGGTAGGTTAAAAATAGATGTAGCTCAAATTAATTTTGAGAACTTCATTGCCACGTGTGATGCTTGGTGCAGTTATGATCACGTTAGAGCTTCTTT